TAACACAGGACCCAAGAACTTTATGTTCTACCATTTTCTTTCTTATCTAGCATGAATTTTGTTTGGGCGTACTTCAAATGCCATGTTACAATTATCTGCCAGTTATGGGAAGCAATTGATCTCTCTAGTTTAACTGGCCATTTTACATTTGATTTTAAAATTTGGGGTCATTCCTGCTTGCCTTTACTTCTTGCACCAGTGAGGCAACTTTTAACCACCACTGTTTCCTGACATTGCCTGCATCTTCCAAGTGCCATTCATTTAATTTTAATTATCTGCAGTGCCTGCATTGCTAACGCAGTGCTTATTACTCAAGGATTAGGTAACATCTAATTAGGCAACATTAATAAAATTAATGGAAATTAATTTTACATACACGCACACATCATGTTACCTAATCCTTGAATAATAAGCACTGTATTAGAAATGCAGGCAGTGCAAATAAGAAAGCACTGCTGGATTAGACCAATGTGTCTGAGCCAATGTTCTGTTTCCATAGTAATTAATCAGATGCTTAAAGAGGTACATGAGGTTAATATCATCCTTCTACTCATGATTCTAATCAACTAGAGCTCTTCCTTCCTTCCTTCCTTCCTTCCTTCCTTCCTTCCTTCCTTCCTTCCTTCCTTCCTTCCTTCCTTCCTTCCTTCCTTCCTTCAACAACTGTGGTCATAAAATGGAGCAAAACTCACTTAATAACAATCTCACTTAGCAACAGAAATGTTGGGCTCAATTTGGTTGTAAATTAACCTGTATTCCATGGTTATATTAGATCCAACAATCAAATTGGTAAATTAACTATCGACAAAGACAGCCTGCATACCTGAAGTTATTTAATCGTTTGCTTTCAGCCATATGAGATTTTGCAATAGCATTTGTTCAAGTAAACCTCCATTTCCAGAGTAGACATAAATAGCATGGAAAAAGGATGATGATAGGTAAATATTGTAAAGTATGGTAGAAATGGTTTTGAAAGCTTTTATTAAAGCAGTATTTTATTAACCTTTTTATGTTGTTAAGATAGTATCTACCCAATAAAATGGAGCAACTAAGTAACAAAATTGCATATAAATAGTATACTAACATATAGCAAGTAGAATATCAGGTTCTTATTGAACAATTAAAAAAAGGTCTTTCATGTGTTCTTACTATTTATAAATATTCAGTCACATAGGTGAGAATTAAAATTATGCACAAACATATACATAAAGTATATTTTAATGCATTGCATTAAAATAAGGTTAGTATCACATTTTAAATACCTTCCTGATTTAGGGAAGGATTACCTAATACCTGTGTGTGTGTATGTAAGTGTGTGTGTGTCACATATATATGATGTTAATATATCATATATATATGATGTTAATATTGCATTGTAAATACCTTCCTATTTTGAGGAAGAACTACTAAGTACTTTCTTTGTATCCCATTTGTTCAGGATGTGAGCCAATTACTTGTTTCAGAATGTACTTTTCTATTTACAAAAGCAGAAAAATGACTTTAAGAAAAGTTACACATTAATTTTAAAGAAGTACAAGATGTTATCATTTAATTCAGAGCAATACAATGCAGCCAAAAAGGGATCAGTAAACAACACAGTTGTTTGGTTCATCAAACAAGTTTAAATCCTTTATATAATATACATTTTCTAGGAGATCTTACGAAGATCCCATCTTTTTTTTTTATCCCCTGGACATGCCAAGGGACACTACAGTTAGCTTTTCAATTCATCTTCCCTTTCAAAATAGATTTTTCAAAATTAGGATTACCATAGCTAAAATGCAAAATCCAAAGACCTGTAGATGGAAACAGAGAGAAATAGGAAACTCAAACTCCTTTGAGTGGCCATCCATATTCTAGCAGGTGTCATGTTTCAGTTTGAAACATTCATTTCTTAAATGAGTTCATCCCTCCAGTGTTATCCATTCTAATGTTAAGAATGAACTTTATTTGTAAAGCAACCCACATCCTTATGCCTGCTAGCCATAAGGGAAAGCAGGGGTCCAAGTAAGAGCCAGGCAACATATTGCACTCTCCATGTGAGGGCTTTATCTGTAAATAATTGTGAAGGCCTTCCTACCAACCTGCTGTGAAAAGTGGATGGAATAGAAATGTCATGCATAGAATGAAAAAAAATCACTACCGGCTGCCTCTCTCCACTGGTTTATTTCCTTTTCTCCCTCTCCTTGGGGGCTTAATTTTTTTTAAGAATTGAAAAGGCACTTCTATCATCATAAACTGCTCATGTGAGGGGACAAAAATTGGGCAGCAGCCAACAACTCCCCCACAGTCAGGCTTATGTGGGACTTTTGATGTTGTTGCCAAAGGAAACTCTGTCTTACAAAACCACCAGCAGACTGTGGGCCAAGAAAAAGGATCAAGAGATTGTCAGCTTTAAGGAGAAACCCAATGAATTGAAAAGGGAGAAAAGTCAAACATGGTGTGTCCCACCACTGAAGGCAAGGAGAAAAAAGAAGCAAGGCAAGAATCAGGGATGGTAGAAGCTTCTTGGATGAGAAGCACAATGTCTTCAAGGAATAAACAAAGTCCAGCTGCCTTTGAAAAAGCACCTTTGGGACAACCATGACCTGGATACCTGAGAATCTCCATAGGCCTCTGGTATAAGAGGTGCACACAAAAAAAGAGAACAATATCACATTGTTCAAAATGATGGTAAAGACCTTCAAAAAGGGCTCTCTAACCTGACTGAATGAACATCAAAATGGCAAACAGAATTCAGGTTAAATCTAGTCCAAAGTGATGCATATTTTCATAATCCTCCTTCTCTCAAGCTTCATATATATGTTATGAGGTGCCTGTAATTGTTCAAGAAAGGCATCATTGACTTGGTAGCTATTTCAATGAAAATGTCAACACAATATGCAACTAGTGTAAAAAAAAATTCCATGCTTGGATTCTTTAGGAAGTGATCTGTAAATAAAAGAGAGGAGAAATGCCCTTATACAAATCTATGATAAAATAGCATTTGGAATGAAGTGCACAGTTCAGGTCATCAAATCACACTTGAAAAAGGATATTGTTGAGCTGGAAACATTCATGCTGAACAAAATGTGATTCAAAAGAAGTTTTTTCTCCATTTTACAATGTTAGAAACACATTGATCAGACTTGCAGGCTACTAATTACTTTGTTGATAGAGCCAACATATGTTAAATAACCCTGTCCCTATTTATGGAATACTGACTATATCTGATTGGCCGCTGATTGACTTGGAATGCTGCATTATATGAGCTTTGATCTAAGAGTGTTATCAGTTCTTATAGTGTCAAGGAAAACACTTGAATATATTTGGAATAAAATGTTCTCAAGAGGAGAGCAATGCTGTTTTGATTATTCCTCATATTTGCAGGGGATGGATTCATTGTAGGGGATCAGTGTAAAGAAATGGAATATTGTAAATTGTCACTAGGCCATTAAGATCACTAGGTGCCCGTAAGCAACCCTAGGCTCTCCAGTTTTGTCATCATCTTCCCTGAAATCAATATTAAAATCCACTGGCTGTGAAGTATCATAGAATGCTCAGGATGAGGAGGAGTTCTTTAAAAAGTGATACAAAATGTAATTGGATCTATGTGTTGAGCAGAAAAATAGATTTCATTAGCTAAATCAGGGATGATAAACTCAATTTCACTAAGGGCCACATCAGCATTGCGGTTGCCCTGGGGGGGTCGGGAGTGTGTGGCCAGAGTGAGTGCAGCCTACTGGGTGGGCGTGGATGGAGTGGGTGCAGCCTACTGGATGGGTGTGGCCAGTTCTACATCATTCGTGTCAAGGGTGTCTATGGGGGCCTGGGCAGGAGTGGGACAGATCTGAGGGTCTCTGGCAGAAGAGGATGGGACCGGGGAAAATGCCAAGGCACAGTCCACCAGAGCAAGTGCCAAGATGGCCACCACAAAATTGTATATTGGTTCCCGGCTGGCCTGGGCCAGGGCCAAGGCAGAGGGGGCCATTCCCTCACTGTTTCCAGGATGGCTTCATGGGCCACATGAAACCACTTCATGGGCCACATCCGGCCCCCAGGCCTTGTGTCTGACATATCTGAGCTAAATGATCCTTCTGATTCTAAAATTCTATGCAGATCTTGTTGTATAGGGAGATGAAGTAAAATTTTAAGATTATTGATTTTTTTTAAAAGACAATTACCTGTTAGTATGTACCATGTTTCCCTGAAAATAAGACCTAGTCTGAAAATAAGCCCTAATTTGATTTTTGGATGTGGGCCTAATATAAGCTCTACTGTCCTACCCAATAAAATCTCATTTCAGGATCAATTTCTTTTTAATTTCACATGATCATGTCCTTTGTGCAATCAGGAAAGAAGCAGAATTATAATATAGTTCAAGTTGTACTCAAGTTTACTTTGTGTATTCTACCAAAAACTAAAAATATATGTGGAAAGCAAAATGCAGAAACAAAATCTGCTCTTGTTCATAAATAAAACAATGTAATTGGTCAAATAAACTCAGAACTCTAGAAAAATTTTCTGAACAGTACACATGGTCTTTGACTTATGATCACAGTTGGGACCAATTATTCATTGCTAAAGAAAGCAATTGTTAAGTAAATATTGCCCTATTTTACAACCCTTTTAATCACATTTGTTAAATGAATTGCAGCATTTATGATTTGAATCATCCTTGGGGAAATCTGGCTTCCCTCATTGCCTTTGCTTGTTGGAAGCCATCTCAGAAAGTCACAAATGGTGATCACGTGACACCTAGATGCTGCAACCATTGGAAATATGTGCCAGTTGCTTTTTCATTCCCTCATTCTGTCTACCCATGCTAAGTTGAGGTTTACACAATGGTAACTGAATTCTTTCTTCAAGACCATCTCCACAGACCTCCACACCATGTATGCTTAGTGAGATTGGCCCAAGAATCACTCACCTACCCAAATAGGGAGCTACAACAGATGGGATTCTAGCATGGCCAAGAAGTTTAACAGAAAATAAGTTTTTGAAAATAAAGGGCTGAGGCATTGCACATAAAAGCAAGCTTTATTTTCATTTGATAGAGATGGAGACAGAAGTATGGCATTGACTTTTATTATATTAGTTAAGAGTTACAATTTGCCCCAAGGAAAAAAGTTAAGGGACTTGGGACTTTACTCAAGCCTAAATTTATCCTTTAAACCCTGACACTGAAGGCCTGGGAATTAATTATCAGGATATCTATATCTTGGTCATTCCCAGTCTGCAGCATGGAACACATTGCGGTATACAGTGATACTTTGGTACTCAACTGCTTTGAAACTCATCGAATTTGGTACTCAATGCATTTTGGTGCAATTTTTTTGTCCCCGGTATTCATTGTTTGTTTAGTACTCAACACACAAGCTATAACATGTTGGTGTTGACTGCCTTTTGACTAACTACATTATTACTTATGGAGAAAATGTGATGTGGTACTCATCACAACTCCCAGAACCAATTAATAATGAGTACCAAGATACCATTGAAAGGTTTAGACCCATCTAACTGGGAATTCTAATAGTGATCAAAAATACCTGGCATAGTAACCTATGATATCTGGTAGTTAGCACATAGGAAAGCTAGTACAGAGTATATGAATTTACAACTGTTGTACATACAGAGATATGATATTTAAATGTTATCTTTGAAATATGCAATCAACAAATAATATTATTTTTCCTTCCTAGCATTTTTCCCACAAGTGCAGATCCTCTTTTTTGGATCAACTGATTGTTGATCCATTATTTGAATAAGGAATTGATTGACTGGTTTGTCACTTAAACCTGATATTGTGGGGCTGAGAGAATGCGACTGGCCCAAAGTCATCCAGTTAGCTTTCATGCCAATGGTAGTGCTAGAACCCACTATGTGCTGGTTTCCAGCCTGATGCCTTAACAACTAGATCAAATTGGTTCTCAATTATTTATTTGTTTATGAGTTAGGTTAATTATTCTATATTATTCTGGGGGCCCCAAGCAATGAACAATGCACTTCTTCTTCCATTTCTCCCCACAACCATATCTCTGAAATAGGTTAGACTAGAGAATGTGACTAGTCCAAATTTATGGAGTGAACTTTCATAATTGAGGATGAGCCTGAATTTGAGCTCCTGGAAGACAAAGGGGAATATATATTTAATTAATAGAAATAGGTTTAATAAAGCTACCTGACAAAAGCACATTATATTGGCATCTGCTGTAGAGTTAACTACAACAGAAAAACCTCACATCATTCAATGCAGTGTCATCCTCCATTCCTTGTATTACTTCCATCTTTGTCTGGAGTCCACATATATAAGTTCCAGGACCACAGGAGGAACTCCATAAACCAAATTTTCCCCAGTCATGGGAATTACCTACCAATATTTCATTATTACTACACTTGAACTGAATATTGTTGGCTGCTGTATCATCTGATGGCCCCTGAGGTCGTTCCACTCTTAGGGAGAAAGCCACAAGTTTGGAGTCTCCTCTGCAATACTTTATATCAGACCAGGCACCCCATCTGCCAAAGAAAACATTAGTATTAGCTTGAGCAGCTTATCCAGAAGTGGACAACAGAAACTTCGGAAGGACTAATCAAGATAATATATTTATTGTAGTGGTGGGTCAAAAAATTGGTAGATCAAAAAAAAATATCAACTGGCATTCATTTTTATTGTAAAACACAGTAAATTCAAAGCTAAGGAACTGTGATAATCTATTCTTAATCCCAGTTTCCAGTGGATATAAGTATTTTTTAAATGACTCTTGATATTCAAGTCCACCAGCTACTGACAGGAACTGAGCTTTTATTTCTATTTTTGCTTCTTTGCAAGTTATCTGTCTGTCTGTCTATGGGGAGTGCAGATGTGAAATCTAAAGAGATAATCAAATAACACACATCTGAGAGTACTGTAAATTGTTGAAGTTTTATTCAGAGCTTAGAAGAAATAGATTTCTTAGATCCTCCAGCAAATTTGTGGGCAGAGAAATTGACCAGGCTAGATTTTTCTAGGAGAGAATTATTAGCAGCCTTGCTTTGTTAGAAGTAAAGAATAGAATAGAATAGAATAGAATAGAATAGAATAGAATAGAATAGAATAGAATAGAATAGAATAGAATAGAACAGAACAGAACAGAACAGAACAGAACAGAACAGAATAGAATAGAATAGAATAGAATAGAATATGGAAGGAACCTTGGAGGTCTTCTAGTCCAGCTCCTTGCTCAAGCAGGAGAACCTATACCATTTCAGATAAGTGACTGCCTAACCTCTTCTTAAAAACCTCCAGAGATGGAGCCCCCATGATTTCTGAAGGCCAGCTGTTCCACTGGTTAATGAGAAACCAGAGAAGCAGCAGTCTACTCATATTCCACATATATTTCACTGAAATTCTTTTAAAGAATTTTTAAAGCAAATTAATTTAATAAGTTATAAGAAAATAAGGTATTATTTTCACAAGAAGAGAGTTTGCTGGGGTGACAAAATAACCATCTTCTCTGCATTTTAAAAAAATGAATGAATTCAAAGTACTACCTCAAAAAACAAAGGAGTCTCATTTTGCTTAAAATGATGCTGTGTTTCAGATGAAATCTATAATGTTCCAATTCATCTGTTTATATGCTACCATTCTGGATATTACAATTTTAAGAGGAGCAAAATATTAGATAATTTTCATTCTAGTACATGATCTGAAATAGATAAGAACTGACAGCAATAACACTTCATATCAAGATGCTGAAGAGGAAGCATACTTCCAGATTTATCATTTTGTAAGACAATCCTCCCCAATTTAATATGTGACAGATGTACCAGGATTCTGACTCTTTCAACTGTCCAGCTGAGTGGCCCCGGTTGGTTGGAAGGAATTCTGGGAGCTGTGGCCCCCACAATGTAGAAAGAACATGTGGAAAATAGTTCTAGGGACTGTAACTGTGGTTGACCTAATACATAATCCAGCTCAGTGATATGATTGACATAACTGGGATGTTTTCTCATTTAATTCAACCAATACCTGACTAACATTGGTAATATGGCTGCAATTATGCATGTTTTAATAGTGATGGTGGTAGTTCAGAAAACAAAATAGAATAGAATAGAATAGAATAGAATAGAATAGAATAGAATAGAATAGAATAGAATAGAATAGAATAGAATAGAATATTCTTTATTGGCAAAATGTGATTGGACACACAAGGAATTTGTTTCTGGTACATAAGCTAAGATGCTACTCACTTCCCAACAATAGATGAAATAAACTTTTTATCATCACAGAATAGGCGTATGCCATTCAGGGATGTATCATCCTCATGACTTGTGCCACCTTGATATGGCTCAACCTAGTGGAGAAAAGAGGGGAAAAAACTGGATCAAAATAACTATCATACTTTAAGACACTTCTTTTAAAAATGATACCATCCTTTTTAAAGCAGTCTGTGGAGATACCTTAGAGAAAATTGCCCTTTTCTCTAGGAGTGAAGCTCTGTCCAAAGACCTGTTCTATTTTATTTTTAATTTAATTTGCTTTTTCAAAATCCTACAGAGAAATGGATTTTATGTGGTCCTTCAGCAGAAGGCATCTCCCCAGGACTAATCTATAGCCTTCAAAATATCCCCAAGTCGTGTCCTTAGTATTTTGTAGCACAGTCACTGATTTTCAGAGACACCATTTTTTATCCATTTTTCCAATTAAAATTTATTTATTTATTTACTTTTAAAATTTATAAGCCGCCCCACTCCCGAAGGACTCTGGGTGGCTAACAATAAAAAACACATAAAACATAATAAAACCACAGTACAAAGACAATCATCCAGGGGTCAGGTTTTATAAACCCCAGGCCTGCCGGAAAAGCCAGGTCTTAAGTAGCTTACGGAAGACCAACAGGGTGGGAGCGGTCCTAATCTCCGGGGGGAGCTGGTTCCAAAGCGTGGGCGCCATCACAGAGAAGGCCCTCCTCCGCAGCCCCGCCAAATGGCACTGCTTGGCCAACGGGGCCTGAAGGAGGCCCAGCCTGTGGGATCTAACCGAACTATGAGGTAGTAGGTGGTCTCGCAAATAGCCTGGCCCTGAGCCATATAGGGCTTTAAAGGTAATGACTAACACCTTGAATTGGACCCAGAGACCAATAGACAACCAGTGCAGCTCATGGAGGATAGGTGTAACGTGGGTGTATCGAGGAGCACCCACTATCACTCGCGCGGCTGCATTCTGGACCAACTGTAGTCTCCGAATACTTTTCAAGGGTAGCCCCATGTAGAGCACGTTGCAGTAGTCCAAACGTGAGGTGACAAGAGCGTGAGTGACTGTAAGAAGAGCCTCTCGGTCCAGGTAGGGTCGCAACTGGTGCAACAGGCGAACTTGTGCAAAGGTCCTCCCAGCCACAGCCGTCAATTAATGTTCCAAATTCAGCTGTGGATCAAGGAGGACACCCAAGTTGTGAACCCGCTCCAAAGGGGGTATATTTTCCCCCGCAAGAGTCAACACTGGACAGTCGACATGATCCTTGGGAGGCAACATCCAAAGCCACTCGGTCTTGTCAGGATTGAGCCTGAGTCTGTTAACCCCCATCCAGACCCTCACGGCTTCAAGGCAACAGCCCATCACATCGGCCACTTCACTGAGAGAGCTTGGGGAGGAGATATATAACTGGGTATCATCAGCATACTGATGTAACCTCACCCCGTGCTGTCTGATGATCTCACCCAGCGGCTTCATATAAATGTTAAATAGGAGGGGAGAGAGGACCGACCCCTGTGGCACGCCGCATTCAAGGGGCCTCGGGGTTGACCTCTGCCCTCCCACCAATACTGATTGCGACCGGCCAGAGAGGTAGGAGGAGAACCACCATAAAACAGTGCCTCCCACTCCCACCCCTTCGAGTCGTCGCAAAAGGATACCATGATCGATGGTATCGAAAGCCACTGAGAGGTCAAGTAGCACCAAGACAGAGGAATAACCTCTGTCTCGGGCCCGCCAGAGATCATACTTTACAAAATATTGTAAAGTATGTGTGATATTTCCTAAAACCTAATGGGTAAAATTTATATTACTTCTGAACACTCTCAAAAAAACATCTCATTCCATCTACCGATGACACAGAATCTTTGAATCCAGAAGTCTCAAATTTGGACATAATCTTTTACAGAAGTGTGATTCCACCCAAGACTATGACAGGAGCCAATAAAAAACCTAACAGTTCCAATGCCAGAGCATAGTTAGTTAGTTAGTTAGTTAGTTAGTTAGTTAGTTAGTTTTTGTTTTTCTATTATTTTGTTTGTTCCACCAAACCGTCATGACTATCAAAGAACAAGTAAGGGCAACTATTACAATTTGTGGGGTAGAAATGTATAACTGGTTATTATGCACATATCAAAGATTCTTATAGCTGAACTGATAGATGCAGAACACATCCGTTAACACCCACTAGCAGCCAGAAGACATGGTAAAAACTCTTTAATTTTCACATCACAAGGTTATACTTAATTATAGTTTTAACTGGGAAACTTGAGCATCCTAGACCAAACCAATTCAAAAATGGTAGAGAATTCCTGGAAGCCTGGCATTCAGACAAAGCACCATCAACAGGCTTATAGACATAGACAAACATCTACATACCTTGCAAAAGAGACAATCAACAAGCTAAATGGGGAACAAAAACATCAAAGCAGCTCTCCACTCACAATCAACATCCAGATGTACATAGTTTAACATCAAGATTAATGTTAGACCAGCAATCGAAAAGCAAGCAATACCACAATCGAGGAACTGACAAAGAAGCTAACAGTAAACAGCCCAAACAAAGAACCACCAAGGCTGCTCCCAGCAACACTGACAGGGCAAGTCACTAGAATATAAATTGGGAGCAAACCCATTCTATACTAGCATTGATCAGTAATGAAATGTCTGCATAAAAACATCAAAGCTCAGACAGCACTAAGAACCCTTCATTTCAACCCTGATCTTCTCTGTCAGCAATGGATAATTTTTCTCGATGCTTTCATAAAGATGTTAATCAATAACAAGTGTGAAAAAAACCCCAGGCATGTGACATCTCACATAGCAGCAGTAAAGAAATTCATAATTGAGTTCCTCATCAACTTGTGCAGGAAATCATAACTGAGTTCCTCATCGACTAGTTCAGGAAGAAGTAGAACCACTATAAAACAATACCTCCTTATTTGCCACTCTTTTAGTTAGTCCAGAAAGATGTCATGAATAATGACAACAAATGCAAAAGTATAATAGGACTTGGACTAGGAGTCCCCAATTTTTCCATCCAAGTTCAGATGAAGGACTTGCACAAGAGTGATTAATGCAGTTTCTATCCTTCAGCCAACTCTGGAGCTCAGCTCAGAGGGAATCAAATAATTTGCTTCCTCCAAGATTTTTTTCTGCAGTTTTTGCTCTACTAACTTCTCTAAACTCTTCTCTAAGAAGGGAAAATTGGATTTCAGTATATATTGTCCAGCAGTCAGGTTGGGAGTTGGGTTCTTTAAGAGTGAATGCATCCCTGGTTCCTTCAAGGTAGTAGGAATTCCACTCACTCATAGAAGCCGTATCCATCTTTCAGATCACCCTAACCCTACACTTCATTGTCTCTGTGATTAAATACCAGCAAGACATATGGCAATATGGCCTGTCAGATCCCTAAGAAAATTCCCAAGTACCAGCTAGGAATATATCAGATCAATCAAGAATCTAATACTAGAATTCTAATCAATCCCCAACTTGTGCAAAGGATGCCAGCCATAGATTCATTCCAAATTTGCCTTCCTGTTAAAGCCATTATTTCATTTCCTCCACTCTGGCACAGAACAATACTTGACCATCATCTGCATAATCTCCTTTCAATGTTTGAAGAATGCTATCATCTCCTCCCTCAGTCTTATCTTTTTAGGACTAAACTTACCTACCTTTATGGTTTTTGATTTATTGACCCTAGTTACTCTAATTTCTCTTCTCTGAATTTTAAGTAACAAAAGCATTAATTAATGTATAAGCCTCTGAGAACCATAGAGAGTTTTGTAGAAGCTTCAGTATAATGGGAGGTACTTGCTGTTCATCAGAAAGCTGTTTGAGGGAAAAAACTGGTACAGTAAGGACAAGTATAGTGTTTATATTTGTGTTTACCTTCAGTACAAAACCAGAAGCATGGCCGTCTGGACAAAATTCTTTTTTTCCCCAATAGCCCCAGGGTCCTCCATTTTCCACCAAGAGGGTAGATTCATAAGCCTTTGCCCCTTCATCCCTGAGACAGCAGGAGAGGATCAGGAAGACCACAATACTGGTGGAATTTTCCATTACTACGTAGTCCTCTCTGTAACTGTGGAAACAGCATTAAAGAATAGTAACTGTAAGAAATAATAATTTTGAACACCTAGAAGCAAGCAAAGTTATAACCAGAAGCTAACATGGGTTTGTCAAAAACAGATCATGCCAAAAAAATCTTATTTCATTTTTTGACAAAGTGATTAAATTAATGGACCAGCAAAATGTTGTGAACATAGTTGGATTTCAGTAAGGTATTTGACAAAGTAGATGACAACTTCTTGAGAAGATAGAAAAATGTGGGATAGATAGCATCACCACTAGGTGGATTTGTAACTCACTGACACACCGCATTCAATGTATAGTCCTTAATGGAATTGCAACTACACAGAAGGAAGGAAGCAGTGAGGTACCCAAAGTTCTGTTTTAGGCCCAGTACTCTTCAATATCTTCATAAAAAATTTAGATGAGGAATTAGAAGGGGAATTCATCAAATTTGCAGACGACACCAAGCTGGCAGGGATAGTCAACATCCCAGAAGGTAGGGTTAAGATCTGGATGGATCTTGACAGATTTAAACAATTGGCCCTATCTAGCAACATGAAATTTAATGGAGAAAAAAGTAAGGTTTTACACTTAGGCAAGAAAAACCAAATGTACACGTAAAGATTAGGTCAAACTTCACTTAATAGCAGTAGCTGCAAGAGAGATCTTGGAGTGGTAGTGGACAGCCACTTAAATATGAGCCAGCAGTATGCAGCATCAGCAAAAAAGCCAATGCAATCCCAGGCTGAGTTAACAGAAGGATAGAATCAAGATCACACAAACTGTTAGTATGCTTTATAAGGCCTTAATAAGACCACACTTTAAATACAGTTTTCAGTTTTGCTCACTATGAGACTCTGGAAAGAGTGCAGAGAAGAACAATAAGGATCATAAGAGGTGGGAGGATAAAACATATGAAGAATAATTGCAGGAATTGGGTATATCTACTTTAGTGAAAAGGAGTATGAGTGACATGATAGCAGTGTTCCAATATTTGTGCCACAGAGAAGAGGGGGTCAACTTATTTTCCAAAGCAATAGAAGGCAAAACAAGAAACAATGGATGGAAACTAACCAAGGAGAGAAGCAATCTAGAACTAAGGAGAAATTTCCTGACAGTTTGAATAATTAATCAGTGAAATGGCTTGTTTCCAAAAATTGTGACTGCTCCAACACTGGAGGTTTTTAAGAAGAGATTGGACAACCATTTGTCTGAAATGGCATAGGATCTCTTTCTTGAGCAGGGGATTGGACTAGAAGACTTCCAAGATTCCTTCTAACTCTGCTATATTGTTAAATACAGTAATAATTTTGGTTATTTATTTATTTCCCACCTTTATTGTTTCATTAATAACTCACGGTGGTGAACAGACACAATACTCCTTCCTCCTCCTCACAACTACAACCATGTGAAGTGGGTTGGACTGAGAAAGAGTGATTTACCCAAGGTCACCCAGCTGACTTTCATGTCTAAGACAGGACTAGAACTCACAGTCTTTTGGTTACTAAGCTGATGCTTGACTCTTCAGGTATCTAATGCCAACTGCACAAGGCCAGCCCTTCATGAAGTGGAGTTGATATTTTAACCTGCAGATCACATTCTCCACCACACCTTACAAAGCCAGAATTACTGCTTCACTCTGGAGAAGGAATCTCAAGTTGTCTCTGTTTGTTTTGAAATACCGTTGTGGGAAGTAATGCCAGACTCAAATACCTCACTCTTGGTGACATTCCACGGAGAAGTATTGGACCCAATCTCTCATTTTATCAGGCCATTTTATCCAGTGAGATACCTCATTTTTACCAGTGAATTGGCTGTAACAAACTTGGCCATCAAAACAACATTAGGTGCTTTTCCATTTTAGACCTAGTTTCACTCTATGCCAAACAGTATGTCATATTTAAACAGATCTCTTGGTTTATTGTACAACTTTTTAAAAAATGAAAAAAAAGTCTGTTTGGGGTTATGTATATATCAGAATTATCATCTCGGTGGAAAAAGAATATAAAGTATTCCTCATATTCTACAGTCCTGACAAAAATCAAATATCATTTTCATTTGAAGGAAATCTGTGTTTGTGAGGAGCACTGGCTGAACAGAATGTGGCAGAGGATTTCCATTGTCCCTTTAGAACAGGGGTAGTCAACCTTGGCTCTTTTATGACTCGTGGACTTCAATTCCCAGAATTCCTGAGCCAGCTTAGGAATTCTGGGAGTTGAAGTCCACGAGTCATAAAATAGCCAAGGTTGACTATCCCTGCTTTAGAACCTTATTCAGGCTGCCATTTTTATTTCATGAAAACTGACTCTGTCTAGTTATTTTATTGCAACTTTCCAAACATTGTACCCCTGGGCAATTTATTTTACAATCCTATTCTTTGGCTCTGGAAAGACTTGGGATCCCAGTTCATTAAAAGTGTTAACATGAAATGATTAAAATAAAATCTGCAAGCAAGGAACACAAGGTTCTGCTCTGCCTGATCAAAAAGTCGGATCACTCCTTGTTGTGCCTCGTGACAATCTGAAAATTGCACCTGTGGAACTCATATTTCCTTTTAGAACATTGCTTCTAAATATATTGTTTCTAAAAAGAGAAGTTATCACAGTAATTATTAACTATAAACAAGCATTATTTGAACAAGCAATTTGCTAACAAAGGAATAGATGAAGATCAACCAGAAGATGAGAGGCAGGATGAGTGTCGAAATCAGATGCCTATCACGTACAATATTCTATGGGCATATATTGTATGTAAGGGAATCCATTTAAGATTTAGTTTGATGAAATATCAACAAAGGGGTTCATCAAATTTATGTTTAATAACCAGGAGACTGGGTAACCAATAAGGTTATAGAAGGCCTCATACCAGAACCACACTTTTGAATGAAGCTTTCACTGTATACATATACAGCTAATGAGAGAGAGAGAGAGAGAGAGAGAGAGAGAGAGAGAGAGAGAGAGAGAGAGAGTTTTGCCATACCATCCATTCCATTTGTCACTCAGCAATAATGTACTTCAAAGGCAATATATAATCTCCATAGTCCTCACCTACTTAGATTTAAAAAAAAACAAATGGTATGGAATGCTTGACCTTGCAGAAGAAAATTTCAGCCAACAACTACTGAGCCCAAGCCAGCCAAGGGTTGAGTGTTGAGCATGCCAGATAATCAGTGTATTTTTTTTTTTAATTAAACTTGCCTGTTGCTGAGTTTACTGCCTGAATCTTGAGTTTCCAAGACTCCATGAACTAAACAAAGACCCTTTTGTTTTCCCTCATAGAAAGAGAAATAAATAAATTTTAATCCCTCACAGTAAACACACAGAGTTCATGTACTGCATTGCTTTGGGAAATTGAAAGCATTCCCACCAAGGGGATGGGAGGGGGTGATGCCAATTTGCTTGAAACACCAGCAAATGCACTAAGAAGCCAGAGAAGCTTTTGTTCTTCAGTGGGGCCAGATCAGCATTGCAAGTGGGGCATGTTAGCTTATGAAATGATATAACAACATAACAAGAACAAATTCCATGCTGGGAGATTCCATTAGAGGTTTTTTTTCCTAACCTCTGCTGAGTAAAGCGAGGGAAGTGCTCTCTGTTTGTGATTGTTTGTGTGCATGTGCATCACTGGCATCCGTAATTAAATGAAAAAGAAAACATCCGCTAATCAGGATTGCCTTTTGTGTTGTGAGTTTTATCTATAGTAGAAGTGTGTGGGGAAAGGTAAAAACTAATTTTGCAAAAATTGTGAGGAACTGAAATTTTTCAACATTTGAAAAGAAGCAGCTATGATTTGCTACAATTCTTAAGAATCTTTTATGTTGTAGTGGCATGGTAAAATCAACAAGGAATCCCACTCAAAACCACAAGTCTGCAAAATATTATCTATCTCTATATTGTAGTTTCATTTTACGTCCATTATAAAAACATTTTTCTTAAAAAATGAAAACAATAAAAGGTGGTAGCTGGCTTCATTCTTACTAAAGATCTGAGCTAACTAATTTACACTGTTTTGGAAAATATAAAAGAAAAGCTACATATTTAGGATAGAAAACTCCCAAATAGCTTAAATGCTTCCACTTTGATAAAATTCCTATTAATCTGGCAACATAGCAACTTAGAAGTCTTTTGAAAGTGCATTTAAAATAACAATGGCAATATAATGCTTAGGCTGATTTATATGAAATGTACAATTGAATATTATTTGATCTGCAACCAATTTAAAAATATTTTCAGACCTTAAGAGCAAGAAGCATTAAAATAAGGAATGGTGTCAGTGGAGCACTTCACATGAATAGTGTTAATTATTTAATCATGTTTTACCCAGCTGAATTTCAGGAACTCAGCTTGGCTTAAAATACAAAAACATTTTAAATTCTACCTAGTGTTCCATTACAGAAAACCTCTGCTTTAAATTATCTTTGTGCCATAAATTCTTTGACTGGAGTTGTATAATGTGCTACAACATAATAAAATTCTTTGTGGTTCAGTACGTTGTGAGATCTAGTAATAGGCTTACTCTGTTGTATGAATGTGAGCATAATATGGAAGCATGGAAGGGTGTCATAGTATGTTATATGCAAGCAACAATTGTGCTTTGTTAATCCAGTTTTGGCTTTAGCATGCTAAGTGAGCCTGTGGGTTTGGGGAAGCCATTCTTTCATGCTTTCAGACAAAATAATAATAATGATAATAATGATAATGATAGTGATAATGACGATAATAATAATAATAATAATAATAATAATAATAATAATAATAATAATAATGTTGGAAGGGACCTTGGAGGTCATCGAGTCCAACCCCCTGCTCAGGCAGGAAACCCTATACCATTTCAGACAAATGGCTGTCCAGTCTCTTCTTAAAAATTTCCAGTGTTGGAGCATTCACCACTTCTGGAGGCTCATATAGCAACTAGATACCTTAGGAGTTTTCCAAGATATGCTCAATCGGTTTGAACTATTAATATGGAAGAACAAAATATAAAATACAAAGGGGGAGTCACATTAACTGA